TGGGCTGTCGTAAATTATACATAACGTTATAGGAAAATAAGGTCTATATAACGTTATAGGAAAATAATCATTTTATTAATCTCTGTATATATTAGCCATTTTTATTGAATATTTCTTGAACGTTTGTTATTATTTTTAATTGTCGTTTTATTATCTTATAATAATTATCAATTTTAAACAACATAAATCAGTAGTAATTAGTTTTGCATAGCAAACTGTGACTCTGGACCCGTCTGTCAGTCGTCAGTCGTACGCTAAAACATTTATTGAGGTACGCTAAATTTATAAAATTACAATGAATTGACTACACAAATAACATCAGAGGAGCAGAAGCAGTTCAAATATACAATATTACGGCCGATCATAAAATATCCATAGTTACACCACCGATGCATGCATTCGGTCGGTAGGTACATCATGCTAACATGCATGCAGGCATATTTTCAAAAATAGTTCCAAGTTAAATGTATAAAAAAATTCATGCACATATTTTATTTATTTTCTTGATATTATTTTTTTTTTTTTTTCTTCTCTCATTTTGTTTACAATGGCAACACTTTCCGGTTGTTGACTTGGAGCACCTCACGTTCGCCTCTTATAAAAGAGAAAGAAAGTCATTCCAATAGAGCATGTGTATATATGTAAGTGTGTGTGTGTGGCTCTGAAGATTGTATCTACAAGAATTTTATGTTCATAAAACATTAAAACACACAAATATGCACTGCAAACTGAACACGGAACTCCGTACTGAGTTTACTACTATACCATCGATCGCTCGATCGTCATATGCGTATGTTGAATTCCTATAAGCTGGTGCGCTCTCCTCTCAGCATGCAGATCAACTTATGTGTACTCATTTTTCTTGTTGTTATTATTTATCTCGTATACATACAAACATTTCTACTTTTTTTTTGCCCGTGTGTTAACTCTACCAGCAAATTGTTCAAATGAAATTTGTCATGTGTATGTTTGTGAGTTTCGTGCTCATACAAATTATAATTTGTGTATAGATGTGTGTGTGCGTGTATATGCATTGGTGTGCATGCATTTACGTTGGAATTAGTCTGTCTGAGTGAGTTTGAATTGGTGGCGCCACTGTGCCGACTGACGACGCCGACTTCGTTACTATTATTTCTTTTATTACGTCAGTGGCGCCCACTGGCGCCTGATGGTAAGCTGCTGCTGCCTTTCGTTGCTGTTAGCTGATTGCACGCAAAGCCAATTGTATCGCATGTGTGAGATAAAGAACGCCAGAAATGTTTGCAATGGTTGAACCAGCCAGAAAAACCACAAAATACAAAATTAAGTTGGAATAAATAAGAAATATTTTGTTGTAACGCCATACAAACACAACTATACATCGTACATGTTTGTTGTTGCGTGTATATGTTTGTGCAGATATACAATGATCAAACATAATAGCAATACCAAAAAACAGAAAACTGAAAACAAAAAAAATTTATACAAAAATAAATAAATAAACTAAAAACCGCTTTGACTTCTGGCTGGCGACGGCAATACATACAACAACAGCAGCGATTAAAAAAACGAAAAACAATATTAAACAACAACAATACGTCGCGACGTTGTCGGCTGATGAAGGCAACAACTTGTCAAGCTCAGTCAGTTAATGTTTTTTTAATATATTATCTTTTTCTCGTTGTTGTTGTTGTTGCCGCTGCTGTTCTGTTAAATATGCCAGTAAAATTTATTATTTTTTTTGTTTTTGGTAGTTGTTGATTCATTACTGTCGTTCTTGTTGCTGGTGGCGCTGACTCTGCCTCTGCCGGCAGTATTGTTGATGCTGATTTACTCTGTGAGGCATGTGTATTATTGCACTTGTGTACTTAGTACTTATGCTTTGCAGTTGCAGTAGCAGTAGCAGTAGAAAACTAATTGTGTAGTTGTGTGTGCGCATAAGTAATTTCAATTTGCAATTATCAACACTGCAATTTCTAATTTCAAAAACAATGCAGCCTGCTGTTGTGGGCTGCTTTTGTTTTTTTCTGCTTCTGTTTTTGTATTTGCACTTTTCTCTGATAATAAAATTGTTTAATTATTTTGTTAATTACTCAATATATTACTTACTGATAATGAAGATATAGACTTAATTTCTCATGCCTTTCAAAATTGATAGGATTCCAACTAACAATTCTATCAGTTAGTTGTGAAAATTTATTTGGAACTTTATAATTATATTGGGTACAATGGAAAATATTATTTTTTTGTACATTTTTTTCTTTAATTTTTTTTTTTATAAATTTTTTTATTTATTTAATTTAATTTTTTATTTATTCGAAAATAGTTTAAGAACTTTTTTTTTATATTAGTTATTTGTTTATGTTTTTATATTATTTATTTTTTTATATTAAAGAGGCTTTTTCGAACAGTAGTGAACTACAACAACAAAAAATCATTTTATATTAATTTAATTAATTGAATTTTTGGCTTATCATAAAGCTTTTTCAAGTATTGCCAAATACCCATTATCAGAAATCTTGGAAATAATTCTTGTATTTAATTATTTTTTTATGTTATTTATTTTTTTATGTTATTTATTTTTTTATGTTATTTATTTTTTTATGTTATTTATTTTTTATATATATTTCTTTATGTTATTTATTTTTTTATATTATTTAATTTTTTTATACTATTTAATTTTTTTATATTATTGATTTTTTATATCATTTAATTTTTTTATATTACTAAGTTTTTTATATGATTTAATTTTTTTACTTTATTTAACTTTTTTATATTATTTATTTTTTTTATATTATTTATTTTTTTTATATTATGTAATTTCTTCATATTGTTTAATTTTTTATATTATTTAATTTTTTTATATATTAATTATTTTTTTTTATATTTATTTTTTTATATTATTTATTCTACTGATGTTATTGTTTTTATATTATTTATTCTACTGATATCATTTTTTTTTTTTTTTTTTTTTTTTTTTTAATTTTTTATATTTTTATTATTTTTTTATATTTTTTTTATTATTTTTATTTTTTTGATGTTATTTTTATTTTTTTATATTTTTTTTATTTTTTTATATTTTTTTTATTTTTTTATATTTTTTTATATATGTTTTTTTTATTTTTTTTATATATTTTTTTATATATATTTTTTTATATATATTTTTTTTATTTTTTTTATATATTTTTTTTTTATTATTATTTTTTTTTTATTTTTTCTTTTTTTATTGTTTTTTTTTTTAAATGAAATGTATTTACATATATATGATTAAATTAGTTAATTATATTATTAAATTTGCATACAAAAATTTTCTGTATCAGTTACTAAAGTGATTAATTCAGATATTGAATATCTTATTCTTTTATTTGTGTCCAAAAATATTATATAATAATATATTAGCGGACTAATTGATAATTTGAATAGAAATTAAAAAAGCTTAAAATTTATTATTTATATTTAAAAGCAATTTATATTTTATTAAAATATTTTTGCGATATTTCGACAATCTTCGATAGTAATCTTCAGGGAAACAGTGTCCCAGAAGATGACGAAACACTGCTTATGTGTTGACCTACTAATTGAATTTCATTGGAATTATTAAGTAAATTTTTATCCTCAACTCGCTAAATTTACTGCACCAAACATAGACAAACAAACCAAGCACTAAAGACAAAATAATAGTAGTTTCACAAAAACTAGTAAAAGTGCTAGCTTTTGTAGCGCTAAAAACAAATAAAAGTGCTGATTAACAGTCCTTAAAATAAACAAAACTCAAAACTCTTTAGTTACGTTCAAAAATTTCTAAAATAAAATGTCGAAAAATATTTTCAATTTTAAGAACAAGTAAATAAAATTCAGAAGGTTACCTGACAGCGTTTATAGTTAATATACTTTTACATAATATGGATTAGTCTTTCATTTGAAATATAAAAATCCAAATAATGAATATAATTACAATTTTAAAATTTACACTTTTATAGTGTGGTCGCCTTTCTGAAAACAATTAATTTTTGATAGTTGTAAAATCAAGCATTCATAATCGTTAAAAAATATTTTTGTTTACAAATAAACAATTTATTTCTTTTTACTTTTTTTTTGTAGAGTTTTTTCATTAAAAATAAACAATCATTCCATTATTTGGTGACTAAAGTTCCTTTCTAGACCTATGCGTTAACGTTTAGCAAAAAAAAATTATAAAATATAAAAAAATTATTTTAAGTCAACCATAATAGTTGAAAAAAAAAATGTTTGCAGATTGCATATAGTATTATATGTATATAATATGGCATTTGTTTCTTGTCAAATAAATTTTATATATTTATTAAATATTGGTTTTGTTATATGAAAAAATACTATTCTTGTCAAATAAAATTTATATATTTTTTAAATATCAATTTCCGGATATTAAAGAAACACGCTCGCGTCACACAACTGGAATAGAGTAGTTTTATAGTATCTATATCCATACTTAAATTTGACATTTTTCGATATGAAATAACGAATTAATTTTTTGCATTTTGCAAACATATTTTTGACACTATATTATATTTAACTTTTAATTTATCATAATTCTGTATTTTAGATTTAATTTATTTTTATTTTTTATTTTCAGCGCCTTAAATCGGGTTTTTATCGTAAATACCAACACATATCGAAAGTTATAAAAACAAGTGATAAAAAATATAATAAAAATAATTATTTAATAGTGCTTTTAGGCATATATTGTTAGTATATATGTTTGATTCGACTTAAGTTTCTAAAATAAGTGTTACCATATTAATTTATTAGTAAGCTTTATATATGATACAATATATAAAAATTGAAATAAATAAGAGTTGCGTTAATTTAACAGAAGGAAAAAATAAATAAATAACATACACGAATGTTGTATTCAAATTAAAGAAATAATTTTCTGTTCATATGGCTTTAAACGTAAATGTATTTAATTTTAATAATAGCTAAAAAGTGAATGTGTGATTTGAATTGAAAATTTGTACTATTTTAAAATAAAAATAAATTTAAAATTTTCAAAAGTAGTATTGCATAATAATTTTAAAATTATACATTTGCCGAAAGAACGCGCGTTGTACCTATTTAACGTTCAATTGAAATTGTGGCGGAAAAACGGGTCAACGGCAAGTAATCAGCATAAAAAATTTGTCGGAACAAATAATGCGAATACGATAAGATAACATCGATGTTACCAACACATTTAATGTCTCTCCATGGTATTTTCACGCAAAAAAGAAAAACTATGGCGTTATGCGTCAGAAAATATGCAATTTGCAGCAAATGCGGATGGGACGAACAATCAGCCACCACAGCCGCATCGCCTTCAACCTCAACGCCTCCCTCAATACCATCAAGAACAACAGTTGATACAACAATCCAGACAGTCATACAGAAATTGTTGCTTAAATTCGAACAGTTCGCCATTGGCGATAGTGTCGAATATATCACAACACCGCCAACAACAGTCAAATACTCCCCTGCCACCATATTCATCCGGGCCTTATGGAATGGACTGCTCCGGATCATCCGAAGTTCATGCCGATTACCTTATGTCGTTTCGTCAGCAATCACAATACACAACGGATGCGGAAACGGAAATTTCTGCATCAGCAACGGAATCAGAAGATCAAATAGCAGCAAATTACAAAATAACTGGCTGCGAATACGAAAACTATGGCGACAATATGTCCGTCGACATATGCGAACAATCCGACAACAGCAGTTATTATCAACTAAGTCAAAAATTACAGGAACAGGAACAGCAACAACAATTACAACAACAGCAACTACTACAACAGCAACAACAACAACAACAACAACAACTACAACAAGTACGTCGTCCAACACTGACCAGTCAAACTTCGGCAGTTATAACATCGACTGTAACAACAATTGCAACGACCGCTTCGAATTTGGTGCGGAATTGTTGTGGAGGCGTATTTTCGTCACAATCGCGTATCGATATAACATGCCCGAACAACAACAATGCCAGCAACAACAATATGAAAAATCGTTACGAACAACGGCATCGCATGGGAACTCTAACCAAAAAGTCTGCTCTCACTTCAACGACTATGGCCAAAGAGTATTTCAATGCTCTGTTAAAGAACATGAAAAAAAGTCAAATATCGGCATTGCTGACAGCAGTCACGAGTCGTCGATCCGATCAATCGATATTAACATCGGACGCGAGAAATCGTTTAGCCGTGCACCAGCAATGTATTCTGGTAAAACGTGGTCTTATTATCGACGAAGAACCGTTCGTAGTCGTGTGTGCGCTTTTTCTTTGGCAAAATTTAAGAGACGCATCCGAACTGAAACGCTTGCCAATATGTCCAACAGAGTGCGATCCCGTCTATGTGTGTTGCAATCCGTTGCATTGGTTTCGGATTACAGAAACAACAGGTAAGCATTATAAATTCAATAATATTCGATATATGAATTACCGTATCTTTAATATATATATATAAATGATTATGTTCCTAACTAACGTTGTATTTAGTAACTGTGTATTCAGTAACTGTGAATTTTGTAATTGTGAATTTAGTAACTGTGAATTTACTAATTATTGGCATATTATTGTTTTTTCTTAACAATTTTTATGTAATTGATAAGGATTAAGTTATTTCTCTATAATGAAGTCTAGTTATGTATGGCAGTATGGCAGAAACCAAAAAATTTTTTAAGAGCACATATGATATATATGTATGTATATATTGTAATATTATGTATATATATAATATACATTTTCGCTTATTGTTTTAAAATTTTAAATCGGTACTTTAAATATTTTTATATAGAAACTTATAACTTCTGTATATTATAGTTTCAAGATCACAGCTTTATTAGTTTAACTAAAGTTCCAGAAAATTAAAGAGTGAGAGAAGACTTAATATAACCTACAAGTTGTTTCTCTCTTAACAACATGTAATATTTAAATGTTATTTTTGACTGCTTTTAACTATTAATCGTATCCATTAATAAAAACGTCCTTATATATTTCTATATGCATATATATTCTACTACTGTAACTTATTAAATACAAAACTAAAATGTTAATATTCATGCCTGAAAATATTCAAACAAGAAAGGAAATGTCCTTCTTGTATAATTAGAAACTTTTTATTGTTATATTCTACTCTTCGAACAAATGTAAAATGTTTTCTTAATTTATTTTTTCTTTATATCTTATTTGATATCAAAAATCTACTTCCGTTTCAAAGTAACCTTTTTTGACCATTATGAGAATATGTCTAGAATACTTATTACTGAAGACATGACTGGCTTATTTCCATTTTTTTTAATTTGAATTATTCATTCCATTATGCCAATCAGGTGCAAACTTGTAAAAGGTGTTAATTTTAGAACATAAATAAATATTATTTGTCATACAAATTAATTGAACTAATAACGATATGTATATGTACATACGCACAGGTGCATACCCGCAAGATACTTGGCTCATATCTTAACTTATTTATTTAATAATTTGACACTTAAATTTTATTTAAAGAAAATGAAATATATTTTTAATTTAATGGCTAGCTACCAGCACTGAAAGTAAAATAAAAAATTATTAACAATTGCTTGAAAAATAATTGGGAATGTAATTTGAAATTCGTAATTCCGTCGCCAACAATAATAATAACAGCAACAGCAACAACTACAACAACAACAACAATAACAAACAGCAACCAGCAACAAAAATTAACGAAAACGACGCGTAGATTATTTCCTGGCGCCAGTTTCTAAATTTACGCAAATAATTTAAAAAGAATTTCACCGCCATCACACACTTTCAAAATAAACTAAACGAAGTATTTTGCTTGACGAATAAAAAAATATCAGCGAAAAATTCACTAATGCTAAATAAAAGCAACAACAACAACTACAACAACAACTTACAATAATGCCACTATCAACAAACAGCAAACAACAAACAACATTAAAAATTCAAATTATTTCTGCTGTTCTTTCTAATGTATCTACAATTTTGCAAGTAAAAAATGTTCGAGTATTAAAAAGCCCCAGTACTCTCACTCGCATTCGCATTCGCATTCGCACCCATCCACTCACTAAACGAGCTAAGTGAATCTGTGAATAATTCAGCGCGAAAACCAATTCGAACGCATCAAGGTGCGAAGATTTTTATGTGCGAAAAATATGTTTTACTAGCGTTTAACAGAAAATGAATTTACATGTGAAATAAAAACAATCAAAGTTTTCATTTACAAAAACCCAATGGTAGCTACTAGTTACTTATCACTAGTTTCTTTCGTGGTGACTAGTTGATTTAATAAATCCAACTTTTTAATCGTTTCTTAAATACTCTTCTTATAGCGAGTAACTATTATACTTCATTATTTAGGAATCTTTATCTAACAATTGTAATCTATTATTCTGGTATTAGTACTCGATTTTTTAAGTTCGCTGTCCATCTGTATTATTTAGGCATACCTATTTTATTTAACCTAATTAAGTGAAAGTTATATATAGCTATAAGTACAATAGTTAAATTTTCTCACCGACAAGCCACTTACTTGGATCTTAGACCCATCAGCCACCTACTCTTGTAACATAAAAGCCAAAGATAAAGGTGTTAGTATCTAATATATGAAATTATTTATAGGTTATTAGAATTATCTATATTTTCTACATGCATTATTTATTCTATTACCAGAGTAGAATAATTCCTTTTGTATTATTATTTTCATATATTTATTTTTATTATTATATCATAATTTTTGTTTTGTATAATTAGAGTATTATTTTATATAATATATTATAATTTTTTTACTATTTTTGTACAATTATTTTAATTATATTATTGTTTTATTAATATATTTATTATTTTATATTATTATTAATAATAATATAATTATAATTATTTATAAATTTATTTTCTTATATTATTTTCATATTAACATATCATTATTTCCATATTTGCATATTATTATTACCATATATTTATTCTTGCGATATTATTTTTATATTATTGTTTATTATTATTATTTATTAAATTATTATTTTTAAAAAATTAGATCTTATATTAAATTTTTTTATTTATAATTAATTTATTATAATTTTTATTTATTTTTTATTATTTTAATTTATTTATTTATTTTATTTTAATTTATTTATTTATTTTATTTAAATTTATTTTAATTAATTTATTTATTTTAATTAATTAATTTATTTATATTAATTTACTTATTTATTTTAATTTATTTATTTATTTTAATTTATATATTTTTTTATTTATTTATTTTTTACATTTTACAAAACATTATTTTTTTATACATATTATTTGTGTTAGTTTTTTATTGTAATTGAGTAGTTTAATAACGTTATATGTAGATGTATTTCAGAAAATTCTATATTTAGATATTGACCAATTAACAGTTATTTTTAATTTCATTATTATTGTTATTTATTCAACATTGCTATAATTTTTTTTTAAATATTTTTACATTGTTATATTTTTGTTAACCAATTTTATTATGTTTTACTGTATATTGTATATATTTTTTTTCTATTCTATATTTAACAGGCTTTTTATTATGGTTCATTATTATTATGGTAATATGTTATTAATGGTTTAATGAATTTTTGTTTTAACATAGTTTTATTATTTTTTTATTTTTTTTATCATTTTTTTATCATTTTTATCATTTTTATTATTTTTTTATTATTTTTTATTATTTTTTTATTATTTTTATTATTTTTTTATTTATTTTTTTTAAATTATTTTTATTTTTTTAATTATATTTTACTTTTATATTTTATTATATTTTTACTTTTATTATTTTTATTATATTTTTACTTTTATTATTTTTATTATATTTTTACTTTTATTATTGTTATAATATGGTTTGTTTTTTTGGTGCAAAATATTTGATGATATTTTTTTAGTCACCATTAAAAATATTTGTCCTACAAAAATACCATACATGAATGAGTTCAGTAATTATTATTCTTCATTCTCCTTAATGTGTGTAATCCATTCATATTATAATAAACCCAGTTGACTCTTTCTTAATACATCATATATCCTTAGTCCCTAAATACTAATAACGTTGTGTATGTTGTGTATGTGTGTATGTTTGGTGGTGTCTCTGAACAAACA